TGTGTTTTAGGGTGCCTGTGGACTTATTATGGTTTTAGGCAGCCTCTCTGCTAATTGTTGGGGGTTGTGTTCCTCTCTTGCTAGTTGTTTCGCATAGGGTGTCCGGCACTGTAGCTTGCTGGCCGTTGAGTGAAGCTGGGTGTTGGTGTTGACATGGAGATCTCTGGGAGATTTTCGCTGTTTGATTTTATGTGCAGCTGGGAGGTCTCTTGTGGACCAGTGTCCTAAACTTGGCTCTGCCACATCAGAGGCCCAGCACTGACTCCTGGCTGCAGCACCAAGAGCCTTTCATCCACACGGCTCAGAATAAAAGGGAGAAAAAGAAAGAAAGAAAACGAGAAAGAGAGAAAGCGAGAGAGAGAGAGAGAAAGAAAGAAAGAAAGAAAGAAAGAAAGAAAGAAAGAAAAAGAAAGAAAAGGAGGGAGGGAGGGAAGGAAGGAGGGAAGGAGGGAAGGAAGGAAGAAAGAAAGAAAAGAAAGAAAGAGGAAAGATGATAAAATAAAGTAACATAAAATAAAATAAAGTTATTAAAATAAAAAATAATTATTAAGAAAAAAAATTAAAAAAAAAAAAAACGGACGGATAGAACCCTAGGACAAATGGTGACAGCAAAGCTGTACAGACAAAATCTCTCACAGAAGCATACACATACACACTCACAAAAAGAGGAAAAGGGGAAAAAATAGTAAATCTTGCTCTCAAAGTCCACCTCCTCAATTTGGGATGATTCGTTGTCTATTCATGTATTCCACAGATGCAGGGTACATCAAGTTTACTGTGGAGCTTTAATCCGCTGCTTCTGAGGCTGCTGGGAGAGATTTCCCCTTTTCTTCTTTGTTCTCACAGCTCCTGGGGCTCAGGTTTGGATTTGGCCCCGCCTCTGAGTGTAGGTCGCCGGAGGGCATCTGTTCTTCGTTCAGACAGGACGGGGTTAAAGGAGCAGCTGCTTCGGGGACTCTGGCTCACTCAGGCCAGAGGGAAGGAGGGGTGCGGATGTGGGGCAAGCCTGCGGCGGCAGAGGCCAGCGGGACGTTGCACCAGCCTGAGGCGTGCCGTGCGTTCTCCAGGGGAAGTTGTCCCTGGATCCCGGGAACCTGGCAGTGGCGGGCTGCACAGGCTCCCCGGAAGGGAGGTGTGGATAGTGACCTGTGCTCGCACACAGGCTTCTTGGTGGCGGCAGCAGCAGCCTTAGCGTCTCATGCCCGTCTCTGGGGTCCGTGCTGTTAGCCGCGGCTCGCGCCCGTCTTTGGAGCTCCTTTAAGCAGCGCTCTTAATCCCCTCTCCTTGCGCACCAGGAAACAAAGAGGGAAGAAAAAGTCTCTTGCCTCTTCGGCAGGTCCAGACTTTTTCCCGGGCTCCCTCCCGGCTAGCCGTGGTGCACTAACCCCCTGCAGGCAGTGTGCACGCAGCCAACCCCAGTCCTCTCCCTGTGCTCGACCGAAGCCCGAGCCTCAGCTCCCAGCCCCGCCCGCCCCGGCGCATGAGCAGACAAGCCTCTCGGGCTGGTGAGTGCCGGTCGGCACCGATCCTCTGTGTGGGAATCTCTCCGCTTTGCCCTCTGCACCCCTGTTGCTGTGCTCTCCTCTGCGGCTCCGAAGCTTCCCCCTCCGCCACCCGCAATCTCCGCCTGCGAAGGGGCTTCCTAGTGTGTGGAAACTTTTATTCCTTCACCACTCCCTCCCACTGGTGCAGGTCCCGTTCCTATCCTTTGGTCTCTGTTTATTCTTTTTTCTTTTGCCCTACCCAGGTACGTGGGGAGTTTCTTGCCTTTTGGGAGGTCTGAGGTCTTCTGCCAGCGTTCAGTAGGTGTTCTGTAGGAGTTGTTCCACGTGTAGATGTATTTCTGGTGTATCTGTGGGGAGGAAGGTGATCTCCACGTCTTACTCTTCCGCCATCTTCCCTGAACCCCCCAGAAATTCATTATTTTTAATGAATTAAGGTGAATAATAGAAATCTACAATGCTCTATTAGAAAATGTCTTGCAGAAGAAATCGCAAATCTCATTTTATAGTATCGTATTTTGGGGGGATAAAATCAGTTTCTAGATAACAAGATACTTCCTGAACCCAAACTAGTTTTTAATATTAAGCTGTCCTAATGTTCATTTATTGTTAATATACTGAGGTTGCTGATCTAGGTTTTCTAAACTGATGAATAGAGAGAGAGGAGGTACATTTTAACTTGATAACTTTCCAAGAACCTGATCTTAGCTGTCATTTTCTTGAGATGTGCTCTGTAAACACCTTTCTTCTACAATTCCCACTTTTGCCCCACTCCCCAATATAAATGCTCTCATTCTATCACATCATCCAGTTTTATGTTCTTAACATTTAAAACAATCTGAAATTACCTTGCATATACAGTTGTTGTTTATTAAATTTTTCCTCATTGTAAAATTAAATTCCATAAGAGTATAGATCTTGTATTGTTCAATACTGAATCCCAGACACCTAGAATATTGCTTAGTAGTTAAATGTATTTTTGGACAAATGGACTGATGGGTGATTTTTTTAATTTTTATCTTTGGGCAGGGAGTAATGGTCGATAGCACTGAGGATATCATTTTTAGCAGTCTTAATAAAGCTAACCAAATAGGGTCTCTCTTAGAAATCTTGTTCTACTCTTATTGATGTTGGTCTATTCCTGGGCTGTCTCAGATAGCCTAGTCCACTTAGGTACTAATTCCTGTGCCCTTTGCTTGCTTGTAAGCATTCCCTGTCCAATTTAGAGAATTACCAAATGTATTTGTTCCTGGATAGAGCAGAGGAAAGTTAATCGGTGGAGACTATTTCGGAATTGTTTAGAGGAAAATCTGGAAGTACCAGCCCACATATCTTGTCCTATCCTGATTAATTTGTGGAGTTTCTTCTTTCTAATTATCTTCCAATAGAACTTTAGAAGTGAGGGGAAGAAAAGAAAGTTGATTAATTTTATCCCTATTAAAACAGCAAGTTAAAGGGTAGCTTGTCTGGAAACAGAAGGAGTTTGTGAAGAAACTGGGTGATTGTGAAGAGGCTAGGCCAATTTCTAATTACAGCTCACTGAAGACAAAGCTACTCATTTGAGGTATATTTTCTGAGATTTCTTTAAACTTTTAACCTTTTTTATTATTATGTTTTTCCTAATAATAATAGCTGATGATTTTATCACATGATTGACACATGAAAATCCATAAAATCGAAAGTGTTGCATTTTGGGACAACAAAAATTAGGAAACTCTTTATTCCAAAGTTTGTTGTGCAATGAAAGACCCCTAAGGTATGAGGCAGGAATCTGAGTAGCAGGAAATAAAATCTGTCTAACATAAACAAAAAGAGAGATATTTTTGGAAGAATACTAGGCAGCTCACAGGATAAAAGGAAAAGCTGAATAAACAAATCTCAAAGCCAAAACCAGGGCAGCTCTGGGAGGTCTTTTCACTAGCACATTACTATTGAGGTGATGAAGCTACAGTGACTTTTCACCTTCTGTCTTTCGATTTGAATTTTAAATTTTCAGGAGTAGACTACCAAAGTGAACATAATGATGTGGAGCAACAATTTCCCCTCTACTTCTCCTGTTTTTACATAAAAGCAACAGGATGAACTGAAAGGAAATTTTTTTAAGTTACACTTTGGGCAGTATGGAGAAAATTGGGGAATGAAACTGAAATCAGTGAGAGTGTAATTCTAATAATAGCAAACATTTGTTGAGCGTTTACTATGGACCAGACACTATGTTGAGTATTTTGCATCCATTAACTTATTGAATTCTCATGATAACACTATGAGTTAAGGATAGTAATAATATATTTTACATTTGGGAAAATTAAGGCTTAGAGCAGCGGTCCCCAACCTTTTTGGCACCAGGGACCAGTTTCATGGAAGACAGTTTTTCCACAGGGGGGGTTGCAGGGGGGTTGGGGGGGATGGTTCAGGCGGTAATGCGAGCGATGGGGAGTGATGGGGAGCGGCATATGAAGCTTTG